CCGCCCGGGCTGCGTGTGCTGGGCCGGGCTGGGGCTGCGCTCCCCGGGGCCTCGCTTCTCAAGCAGCCGGTTTGTAAATGGCCGGTAACGGGGATGGCGGGGTGTGTCTGTGTGCCTGTCTGTGTGTCTGTCTGTGAGTCTGTCCGTGTGTGACTGTGTGTCTGTCTGTGTGTGCCCCGCCTCTGTCCGGAGTCACGTCGGTGCGCGCTGCCCGCAGGTGCGCAGAGGTGTGATGGTGGTGGCAGCACTACAGGCGAGCCGAGCTTGGCGACCGGTCATGTTTTCAAGGAAAAGAAAGGATACTTTGGAAACCAAGCGCGGTTTATTTATTGTGGGAGATGGGTGTATTTAATGGCGTTTCCTTGGGCAAGTGAGTGGGGTGAGGTCTGTAGGGAATGATACTTGTGCGCCATCAGAAACCATTTGGGTTGATGAACCGATGTGCCTTCCAGTACGTGAAGGGAGCTACAGGAAAGATGGGGCAAGACTGTTTACAAGAGAATGTAGTGACAGCATAGGGGGGAACAGGTTCAAATTGAAAGGGAGTACATTTAGATTAGCTGTTAGGAAAAATAACACTTTCACTGTGGTTTTTGAGGACTGGAGCAGGTTGCCCAGAGAGCTGTGGATGCTCCATCACTGACACGTTCGAGGCCAGGTTGGATGGGGCTCTGAGCAACCTGGTCTAATGGAAGCTGTCCTTGCCCATGGCAGGGGTTGGAACAAAATTATATTTATGATCCTTTCCAACCCAAATCGTTCTATGATTTCATGTTGGAGGATGTGAAAGCAAACACAGGGTAAAGGAAACATTTAGAAGCAATCATCCTGCTCAGCGTTGATAGAAGGGATAATACTGTCCAGATATAGGAAATAAATGTGACAGAATTATGCAGGATGTGAATGATATGATGGACCGTAAAGTAGCAGGATGAGACTGTGTGGATAAAGAAAAAAGAGTCAAGTGTATCATTGCTTTGAGACAAGAAAATTATAAGAGCTTTTGATGGTGTCTGCTATAGTCCACAGGAGTTGGATTTGTGTAAGAATGTCGCTTACTGAGAGATACTGTCAGGAGTTATGTCGCAGATGGATTTCTTTCTTAGACTGTAGAATCACAGAATGGTTTGGGTTGGAAGGGACCTTAAAGATCATCTGTTTCCAACCTCCCTGCCATGGGCAGGAATGCCATCCACTAGACTGGATTGGCCCTGGCCGCATCCAGTGACCTTGAACACTGCCAGGGGTGAAGCATCCACAACTTTTCCTGGCAAACTGTGCCCTCACCACCATCTCAGTAAAGAATTTCTTCCTGGGATCTGATCTGATTTTATCCTCTTGTTGTTTAAATCCATTTCCCTTTGTCCAGTCAATATCTGCCTGTGTAAGAAGTCACCCTCCCTCTTTTTTATAAGCCCCCTTTAAGTAGTGAAAGGCCACAGTGAGGTCTCCCTGGAGCCTCTTCTTCTCCAGGCTGAACAATCAAGAGAAACAGATGATGGCATCATTTAGACATACATTGATGCAGAGGATCTTACATACAGCTGCTATCAGCTTGCCAAATAAGCACTGAATTGCCTTAGGTAAGCAGTAATTGCTCTCAGGTAAGCAGTGTGAAAATTCTGGGACAAGGTGGTTCATTAGTCAGCTTGTGATCTTGGATCACATTCTTAATTAGATTAAATAAGTAGAAATAAAACAGGTGACTAAACAGGTTTGAAACTCTTAGTTTTAGAAGGGCAAGCTTGGAAAAATCAAGAGGATTAATTAGTGATGTTGTTTGTACAGGAGTCCTGAGGGCCCTAGAAGGTAAAAAGCTGTTTTGTGCCAAAGGTAGAATCCATTTGGAATTTATATCCAAAATATATTTTTAAAAGGTGTATTGAAAACAACTTCTACCCATCGAAAAGGATTTTAGAAATACAGACTAGAAAAAGGATAGTTAAGTGAAATGAAAATGAAGAGGTAAAGTGCCAATTCAAGAGTAAGAACTGGCAAAAGTAGTTCTGAGTTTGTTATAGATAATTGGTTTTTTTAATCTTCTTTAATCATGTAAGTGAAAACAATAATAGAAATAAGACCTCAGGTGGTAAAGTTGAGGTAAAATGGCCTTGGGATCGTGATGCATATCACCTGTTGCAGTTTGGAGTGGGCTACTGCAGTGGGTAGATTTAATGTTAGATGCTCAAACTTTTACCTCAAAAGAATAACGTTTTGCCTCTTAATTACTTACTGTTTTATCTCTCTCCTATAATATGCAGACAACATTAAGAGTTTTAATGATCAGAATTCTTAGCTCCAGGCATATAATACCTGTTTGATGTGTATACCTAGGTAAATTCTGACTTTGCCAGGTCCCCACATCCAGGTACAATGCCACCTGACATCTGAAGCTGGTACATGGTTCATCCTGGACAACTGAGCTGTTGGTGCTTCTGAAAGCTTCAATATTTTCTGTACTACAATTCCTTTACCTCATTAAAATATTTTTAAAAGCTGTTTCTTTTGCATATTTACTGTGCTATTCAGAATGGTTTTGTTCTGCTGCATGGTCAGTATTTTTAAGAAAGTTGTTTTCTTTCTTAAACTGAATCTTTGGATTAATTTTTTTTCCCTAAAGCTGGTTCTGTGACCTCTGATGTTGGAAGGTCAAAATGAAGATAAGTTTTCAATTCTATGAAATCAGTTGTATGGCAAGTGAAGTTTTACGCAGAATATAAAATAGGCAAGAGCCAATAATTGCATCAGTTGTATTTTATTGTGTTTGTGTTTCTGTATGGATTACAGGAACTGAAGTTTGGGTAACAATTCACCAAAGAGAGGAACTTTTCAAGTTAATTTTCTGAAAGTCTTGGATTAGCCATATCAAAATTGTGAACATATGTTTTTCTTTAGCACCTCAGGCTAGATTTAGGTTACATTAGATTACATTGGGTTTGCAATGCAGGAATGACATCTTGTTCCCAAGAGACTTTCTGACAAAATGTCTGATTAACACATCTCGAGGTCTGGAGATAATGCTCATTATGTTTTTTTCCTTTTACCGGAGAAGTAAACCAGTAATTATGTCAAAGTGACCCCAACATCTTTCTATAATACTTTCAGCACTTAAAGTAGTTCTTTCATTGTTTCCATGATCTGAAACACTTGTTTGCCTTCAAAAGGTATTTTTCCATGTGTAGAAGGAAGTGTAAATATTTTTAAGTGGAAGTGTGTTTTGATTGACATTTTCTTATCAGGCTTTTTTAGCTGCTGACATTGACATTTTAGTAAGTCTACTGGAGGCTTAATTTTTTAATAAACTCTACTGTTTTCTTGTCTTTGTATTTCTTTCTTTCATTTATTTGTTGCATAGCTTCTCTTTCTTAGTAGTTGCCAGCCACTTTCTTCAAATCTTTTTTTAAAATTCAAGTAGATAGATTGCCTAAGGCGTGGTTTTATTTTTTCAGATTGACTCTAGGGTTTGTAAAATGAGAAAAGAATTTGAGATTTTTTTTAATTTCTGCTTTAAATATTTTCCTTCTGGTGGGTGATGATGATTTTTTCCAGTTGCTTCCTCTCTTGTTGCTGTCTGGTCAACAACCCACCCTTCTACATCAATGATGATGATAGACGTTTTTAAAGGGGAAAAAAGTAAGTGGAATAGGAATGAGAAAAATGAAGAAACTTAATACGAGCACTTGTCTTACCATCACTTAGGATATCCATTCTGCATGTGAACCTCTGGAAACTTCAGTGGGGTCATGCTGGAGGTCCGTCCCTGGAGCCAACAGGTGGAACTGGATGTCATGCCAAAAGAGAGATGGTGTCTGACAAGATGCTTTTGGCTGACGTTTTGTCTCTGGAGATGGAGCCAATAAAGAGTTTCTGGCCTCTAAACCATGTGTTGATTTGCTTGTGTAATAAGTAGGCACACAGTGGCACTTGGGTTAGGAGCAAAGAATTCACAGTCTGGTGTCATGAAGCAAGAAAGGAAGAAGATTATGATTCAGTTAGAGTTATAAAAACAACCACTCACTATTTGTCAGGATCAGCAATTTCTTGGTAATGGAAAATGCCACATCAGTAGAAGAATGAATGATAAGCTGAGTGCTGTCAATATATTGTCAGCAGTGGGTGTAGTATTGGCATTTCACTGTACATGAAGAAGGAAGATAATTTTGAAAATAGTCTTCCTAGAAAGAAATGTGACCTGTCCAATAGGAGTACATGTTGGCAATATGCTGATCTGATCTCTCCTGCAAAGTTGCTTGGACGAGTTAGCACCATGTAATGACTACTCTGGTGGGAGACTGCTGAGAAATCAGGAATATTAGAGAAGGTTAGGTTCCTTTTCTAAAAGTCTCATCGAGTCCCTTTTCTCTGTGACATTTTCTTGTAATCTTTCCTAAGCCTATGGTTAGAGTCCTTGGGGAAGAAGCTGCAGACAGACCTTTGAATCAGCAGATGAGATTCATAAATGCTCAAGTTAAGTGGGAGGAAATACTAAGTGGAGTTCTAAAAATTTTTGTTTGCTTGCCAAGTTCCTAGAGAGAGAAGCTACAAGAATGTTTACGTTCAAATGAGTCAGTGAACCTGTTTAAATATTTAGGGTTAAATGGTCTTGGACTGCTAATGAAGCTTGGCTACTAGAATTAGTATTTATGTTCTTTAACTCAATGTTATGTGTACTGCAGAAATATATGTGTCTAACCCGAAGATCTAGGGTGGCTGGACCAAAGCAAGGGTCAGAACTTTTAGTTTCCAAGACCTAAACTCAGACTGCCAGGGTATGCTGTTCAGATTCTTAATTGAACTTGGATTACAGAGAAGAGATTTGTGGAAGTTTAATATAAATATTTTTGTATCAAAAAGCAGTGCACGTCCTCAAGAAATGGATATTTAGAGTAGTGATGTTTTCTCCTTTATAACTGCACTTTGGAATTTTTTGGGGGAAACAAAGCTACTGAAAATTATAAAAAGTTTTCATGCATGAGAAATACTTCTTTTTACCCTTTCACTTTCTTAAGTATTGAATTTTCAAAAAATGTAGTGGCTAGATATTTAAAAGTAAGGGCTTTTAGCAGTTATGTACATATTATAAGATTTAGTAGACAAACAAAGCCAGTAACTTGTCTGAAATAGCTAGGATATATTTTTCTCCTGTACCTGATTTACTCAAATATGCAGGTTTTTGTATTTTATTTTTTGATGAGAATACTGTTTTTTCTTTACTTGATGGCATTGACAATGGTTATTTTTCTGGAGGAAAATTCTTGCAAGTAGGCAAATATGAATCATTGCTAATATGTTAAAAGTATACGGACAAGAATGGTTCTTAAACAGGCTCAAATTTGTCTGTCTTTATTTTTGGGATCCTCGGGTGAATATATACTCTTAATTCAATTACAGGTTTTTAGAAAGAACGACTGTGCAGATACAATTATGTGGCACTCAATATGTACTTTTATTAGAAGAGATGAATTTGAATGAAAGAATAAACTGGCATGATTTGAATCATCCTGTGTACTCCTGTGGGGTTGCTCAGAAACAAGGTGTCTATGTTTGCAGAACAAACTGAAAATGAAGTTGCAGGGTAATTTTCTTAAAGTTATATTTAAGTTAAACATGTTCTAACTTTTGAGTTGTGAGGACATGTAACTGATCTTTGTTATTGAAAAATCAAGGCAAAACTGTCGGGAGTCTGGAAAGAAATGAAGTGGAGCACTTTTTATTAGTTAACTGAGGTGGTTAGATTGTAATGTATCTTTATACTAACAAAACTGCTTTTTATGTGAAACTGTGCTTTTGTCGGCACAGATGCAGTTGAAGTGAAATACTAGAACCTGAACAATCATGGGTAGCAGTTTTGTATCAAATAGCTCGAGGAAAGAAATACGGAATTCTACATTTGTTTAAGCTAGAAAATTCAGTTAATAATTTTTCCCTTGGGGTCTGAGTGTAGGCTAAGGATAGTCAAGAAGTGGGTAACATATGTCAGCATTGCTATGGAGTGCTGGAAATTGATGCTGCAAAATTTTGGATGGCCTCAATAATCAGCTTCACAGTAGGACTACTGGCATACTTGAAATTAAATGCTTCAGAACAGTTCAGTAGCACAGGCAAAGGTCTTGATTTGGGGATTTGTTTCTTCTTTAAATAGAGATAATGTACACAAAATCAACTGGTTGCATTCTTGTTTGAACAAGTATGTTGAAGAAAATAAGAAATCGCTTAACCACAAGAGCTCAGCAAGTTCCCACATCTCCCTGAAAGTGTAAAGCTTGGTAAATGGCTGTGTGTGCTTATTCAGGGCTCTGCTCAGCTGCACAGGCAGAACTGTCTGGTGCCATTTAGCTCTTGGCTGCTGCTCCAGCTTGGCATGGATACGTGGATATCCCATGGGTCCTGTATCATATCTGCCAGCACCGTTTGGTGTCAGGGATCCCCAAGGTCATCTCAAATACCAGTATTGATGTGTAGGCAGCTGAATCAGCCCTTTAGTCTGTTCTAGTTGAAGGGAATATAGCTTAGCTACCAGTTGTTTTCAGTTTGGTTGTGTGTTTGAGCCTTAAGCTCAAAGTCACCGTGAATTTTCCCACATGAGCTGAATTCTTCATTTAATGTCTCAAACTAGGTGTATAAAATACACTCTGTGTGTGTAGGTTTATGAGTTTTATTGAAGCTTATGCTTAACAATTGTGCATATTCAGTATGGTCGAGCTGCAGCAGTTGTTCAGGTTTTTCTTTTGTTGCATGAAAATAATTCTTGTTTATTCAGTAGATTGCATGTTGAATCATTAACATACATAATACTTAACTCATATTAATTTAATCTATTTTATGTAATCGGATTAGGTTTTATGGCATGAAGTCTTACATAAGAGATGTGTCTAGCCGTAAGTTAGGTAGTTTTATGCAGTCACATTTGATACTTGTTTTAATGTGGTATTACTCTGAAAATTAACTCAGTAAAATGGTAACTTGTTTGTTGAATGTTATTCTGCCTATAGTCAGAATTTTAGAGATATGTAGTTTTATGTGAGAAGTAAACATATTTTTAGCTATGTCTGAACCAATATATCTCAAAGAAAATGATGTGCACAACTTTCATCATTGTTCAGTGAAAGAGGCTTGTACAGCTTCAGAGCTGCTTCTCGTTTTTGTAGTTTTCCTGCAAACAGAGTTACGTGGCTTAATGGTAGGAAATAATTTTAGGATAGTAGAGTTGTGCATATTTGTGAAGAAGCATCTGGTCTGAAAATCTGTTTCAGTTGATAATGTATGTCACAGAAATTATACAGGTAATTTACAGGTTTGACAATATTTTCTGAAGCAGAATGAAATTTTTAGCAGCTCTCAGTAAACCTGAAAAGACACAAATGTTTTTCTAACATTGGCTTCAGAATGGAACTGGAATAATTGCATTTGAAGGCTTAAGCCAGAAATTGGATTCTCTGAGCTGTGTGCTTTTTCTTTGCTGAAAGAAATGTCTTAAAGCATTATGTCAGGAAGGTTCTCAATTTATTTTTACTGCAATGAAAAGGCATTGGAGTATGGTGCTCATATCTCTCTTTCCGATCAAAATCTGATTAATTTTCCTACTTGTTTAAAACAATCTTTTGTCCAAGAATGAATATTTTAGGTAAGAACACAGAAGAGCAGAGTCTGCCTAACTGATCACAGTACAGTTGTATATAAAAGCAAAACTGAGAGAGCTTTGCATTTCTTGTTTTCTCACTCCACAGAAGAAGATAGTTCTAGCTGAATATTAAGTGGGCATAGTTTCAGAAAGTATTGTTGCAGCAATATGATATGATGATTTTAACCACAGTTCTCTCTCTGCAGGGTGACACAAGCACAAATCCATATGGAGGATGAACCTCCTCCTCAAGGAGTCAGTGCCAAGGTCAGAGTGTTGATTTATATTGGGAATTCTGTACTGCTCTGCTCAAAAGGTTCCATTTACCAGTAGCTTAGTACATGCAAGTACTTTTCAAGGTAGACAAAAAACCAAAGCTATAGATAGAAGAAATGATACTAGCTGAAGAAATCTTGCTTAAGTCATCCACAAAATATTAGAAGAACAATGTATTCATATAACATCTGAGATTCATGTCTAAGTCTGCCTTTCACGACTTTGTGCAATATAATGAGGGAACTGATCACTTATGAGATATAAATATTGGTAGGCTAAGAGTCGAAACTGACTTTCATATTTTTGAAACAAAATATAATGTGGAACTGTGTGAGGTGAGAAAGTCTTGAAAAGTGGAAGAATATCTCTTACTGAGTTGAGTGTAACTAATAATTCCAGAGACAGAATTTAGATTATAGATTTTTTTTTGTCTGATAAAGTTTTACTTAGGTTTTTTTTTGGTGGGATTTTTTTGTTTTTGTGGTTTTTTTAAAGAACAGTATCATAAGTATTCCCTTGGGTTCTTTTTATAGTACTTAGGGATTTTTTTCTTTCAGCATATTATTTTAGTGTTAACAAATGCTACAGTTTTGGGGTTTTTTTTTTATCCTGTAATTGTGAGGATAGGACATAAGTGCTTTGTAGAACGAGGTTACAGAAAAACCAACTGGATTCTGACCCACTGAGCACTTGGAATTTAGAGCCCACATTATAAAGAAACCAATGCGTTATTCCAAGAAGGGAATCTGTAAAATTGAAGGATGCCCTGACTGTCCTTTTGAATTCAAGGCTTCTTCAGTCTTGAGCAAAAGTGGGATGCAGTTTTGTTGATGCAGTTTGAAGAACAGTCTCTGATGCTTTTAGTATTTATTATTATGATATCTTAAGAGGGTCTAAAATTCTCTGTAGAATAAATGGTAACCTCTTGACATAAAAGAAATTATTCTGCAAACAGCAGATGAATGAAGACTGATTCCATATGGATTCTAGTCCTTCGTCCCTGATAACCCTGCTGTGTGTCACAGGGAACAGTTTTGCTAGGATTAGCTTGGACCTACTTGCTCACTGACTTATTTCATAACATAATGTCTGTTTGTCCAGCTGCCTGCTGCCAAGCTGATTGTGTCAGCAGAATCTTACTTCCATTTCACTTGCAAACGTGGCTGAAGTTGGTCAGTTGTTTGCTGCAAGGAGATGGGGAAAGAACTGGTGTGATCAAAACCTCAACTCTTTTCCTGTAAAGATGGCCAATCCTTCTTTCCCCTCCTCAGAAGTATATAATAAAGAAATGTGTGATTAGCTGGTATTTGTCTAAAGAACTTAATTTGATTTTGATTTAGGGTTTTGGTTTTGATTTTCTAATCTTCGGTATAGTTCTGTGTATATTTTTTCATAGTCAGTGATATTAATTGAAAAAGCAGTGTTCTTATGGCTCATATAACATGCTTCAGACTCCAAACTAGAATTTATTCACATCTTTGTATAATTTGGAGGTAGAAAAAATACATACACGAAAACATATATGTATATTTCTCAAAGATAAGTGTATTATTGGGCAGACTTCTTTTATGGTTTCTTATTTTAACAGCAATTTTAGCATCAAGGGAAAATACACAGATTTCAAAGTTTGAATATACACTTTACTCTTTATATTGGAATGCTGTCTTACAGAATTCAATGTATATTGAATTCTGTAAGACAGCACTTATGTTGTATGAATATAATGAAAATGCAGCCTCACCATCTAACCTCTTATATGGTACTTTTCTCCATGAATATAGATCCTTTATTTCTAGATCATTATATATTTTATGTGTTTATTTAATGTCTTCCTTTCAAGTACTGTTATAGAATTAGAATACTGGTTTGTGACTGAAAAAGGAGGTGGTGGTGTTTATCTAATTTTTTACTATGCAAAGGCATATATTTCTCTCTGTGCAGGTATTTGATAGCATTTTTTTATAATACCAGGCCTTGGAGGCAACACTGTTGTCAGCCCTGAAGATGCTGGATGTTGGGAAATGGCCCATTTTTTCTCTCTGTTCCTCAGAAGAGATCAAGTTAATTCGTCAAGCCTGTGTCTTTGGTAGTGCTGGTAATGAAGTATTGTATACAACTGAAAATGATGAGGTAATTGTCCAAGAGTGTGTATGAACATGACATGTTTAATCAGTTATTTATCATGTTTTTCTGAAGGCCCAGTAGTATAATAGTGCAGCTAGAGAAAGTTGCATGCAAAAATGTCTGATTGTTTTGTTTGCTACTGAAACATTTTCAGTTTAAATTTAAGGCTTCCCACCACAATGAAAGAACAAAGAGAAGATGGAGTTAGACATTTATTGCAAGTGCATAGTGGCAGGATGAGAAGCAATGGACACAAACTGCAAGATGGGAAGTTCTGATTCAGTGCTAGGAAAAAATTGCCATAAGAGGGGTTAAATCCTGAAGCAGTTGTGAGATTTGTTTTCCTTGGACGTGTTCAAGAATCTTTTGGACATGGCCTTGAGTCAACTGATCTGTTTAGATCTTTGTTGAGCATGAGGGTGGACTAGTTGACCTTTGGAGGAGGTTCTCCTTTGCAACCTAAATTATGAGTATGATTCTTTTATAACAGGTTTTTGTGCTTGGCATGAACTGCAGTGGCTGTTTGGGAACAGGAGACATGCAGAGCACTATAGAGCCAAGGAGGTTAGATTCCCTGTGTGGCAAAAAGATAGCCTGCCTGAGTTATGGAAGTGGCCCTCACGTTGTTCTTGCTACAGAAGGTAAAGTATGATCTGAATATTGCTTTTTCAGAGAGTTCACTTTAATTCATCCAGCAGGTGTGAAAGGTCTGGGCTGGTAACATAAGAGAGTTCAATATTCTGGACTGTTAAGTCAAGAGTATTTTAATTGGCAAATACGGCATGTCAGCTGGCTTATTTTCAGAAGTTTTCCAAGCCCTATTTTGATCTTCTTACTACTTTTGGAAGGGTTTTTCCTTTCACTTCTCAGTTAAGTTTGAAACTTCTGATTGCTCTTGAAATGCATTAGTGGCTGCATTATGCCCCTGTGTTCTTGTGCCAGCACTGTCCTTCAGCTAAAATGCATCTTTTCCCTCCAGTACCTACTTTTGGATGTGCTTTAAAAATCCATTATGTTGTCTCCCAGCCTTCATGCTTCCTGCAGTGACACTCTATTATCTGCATTGTGGTAGTGGCTTTTATGTTCGTAATTAAGTATGTTACTCTTGAGGAAAAATTATTAACATTATGTTCCCAGTGAGGTTCTGTTAGAGCCTAATTGATGATATTCACACTTGTTCTGTTAATGAGAGGAAATGTTTATCAGTATTCTAGATTATGACTAAAAGTAGGTGTGGGGAATTAGGTTGTAAATGTGTTCTTTTACATTCAGTTGTGTTCCATCATTTTCTCCAATCTTCATGGCAGACCATTCTGCTTGCTTTTTGTATGTATGCATCTGTATTCCTCTGAGCTTTGTTTCTGGCACATCCCACTGACACACTCATGCTCCTTAGCCTGATGAAGTACTGCCAAAGAGCATGTCCAGAACTGATCCTTGATGATTTTTACTCATAACTCCATTTGCATTAATAGCTTTTCTTCAGCACAGCCTTTTTAAACTCAACTTTTAGGGGACTGTTATATGTTACACCATTGTTGTGTTAATTATTGTAATTTCCACTTTGCTACATGTTTCTGTGCTGTATGTTTCACATGTTTACTGAAATTTACATTCACATGTTGGTGAACTGAGGAAAATGTTGTTTACTTTTGACAGGATAAAGTAATTAAATTTAACCATTTATTATAGAGAAGTATTGGTTTCATGTAGCATATTTTCCCTTTGTAGTTCTGAGTGAACCCTTCTTGGGAAATATGCATGTTGTAAGGGAATGAAAGCTTATTGTTTGAATTTTACTAAGTGGGAAACAATGCCAGGCTTAGACAAGAAATTCTGATTGACTGTCAGTAACAAAGAAATTGAAATGGGGACTCTGGCTGTCATTTCATCCTTTTCTCTTTTGTATGACACCATCCCTTTTCTTGCAGCAGTATGTTCTCCTTTACTATGATTGTGATGATACTATCTTTTTGGATTTGTGGTCAACACTATGTGAGCCGGGTAGCATTTGTACATCCATGGGCTGAACAGCCCCATAGGTCATATATGTATTTATACACTTAAGTATGCATATTGTTATTGAATTTGACTTTTTAGTCTGTAATTTTATGTTGTGTACTCATTGGAAAAGTTGAGATTTTTTCCACCGGCTCTTTTCATTTTTCTTGTAGAAGGAGAAGTGTACACGTGGGGTCATAATGCTTATAGTCAGCTGGGCAATGGTACCACAAATCATGGTTTTGTTCCCTGTCAAGTCTCTACTAACTTGGTGAACAAGAAAGTCATTGAGGTTGCCTGTGGCTCTCACCATTCTATGGTGTTAACCTCTGATGGAGAAGTGAGTATAGTGGGACCCAATATCTCTTTTCTCTTAATGAAACTCACGTATGGGAGAAACAGGGAAACACTCTGCACCCTATAGCGTTAGACTTTGCTTCTTGCAATCCTCACAGTGCTGATGTAACACAAATGTTTCCAAAAAATTGAAACTTGTGAGGGTGTAGCTGTTTTGAAGTCTGTGCAGAACACTGATTTTGTGCCACATCTGCTTGTAACAACAAGTTATGCAGCCAGTTCCTTCCTATGCTATACTCTACTTTAAATGCTTAATGGCATTAAAGCTGATGTTAATGTAAATCAAATTCACTGTAAGGAATTCTACCTGCCAAAATAAAAAGTTTCCTGGAATTTGCCTTGAGGTGCCATTTGTGCAACTTAGCTATTCTAGTTCGGGTTCTGGAAAAGTAGCAATGGGTTCTTCCAGCATTAACTGCAGCCATCATGTTTCCTCTTACCTTCGAGTGGAGGAACGTAAAAGAACGGAATATATAAATACTGATATTTTTGCTAGAAATGGTTCAGTTGTAAACCTATGTGTCTTCCTAGGTCTCTAAAACAATATACCCACTTTCACATAAATAGGAAATTTTTCATAGAAATAAATTCCTCTCTTGAATATATACTTTGAACTGTATATTAAAGCCATCTTTGATGACAATTCTTTTGCAACAGGTATACACATGGGGTTATAATAACTCGGGCCAGGTTGGATCTGGTTCAACAGCAAATCAGCCAATTCCTCGAAGGGTTACCAGCTGCCTACAAAATAAAATAGTTGTTAATATAGCTTGTGGACAGATGTGCTCTATGGCTGTGGTGGAAAATGGAGAGGTAAGAAATTTCAAGTGAATATTTGGACTGAATTTTACTTCATATAATAACTTGGCATGTAGATAATTTCAAACATGGTAGTAATGAGCTATTATTCAGAAAGGAAGTTTACATTTCCAGACTCCCTCAGGTTTAGCTGCTTCTACTGCTCATAAAAACCTTTGTTACTATACCACTGCTGTCTTTAGCATTCATAGACAAATAAATATTGTCTATACTGGAATAAGAAGTATTGTGTGTGAGAATAATCACTCAATGATATTTTGATTTTTAGTGCTCATATTCACACATCTTAAGAGAAAACAAAAGTATGTTGTATATATTTGTTGTACTGGAGTACCTCTTGAATGTTTCTCATACTTTTTTATCCTCTCTGCAAAGATACAAGGAGGTTGTAGAGTTCTTGATTTTGTTTATATGAGCGGAGGATATTGGGCAGTATACATCTTGCTAGCTCTATTTCTCCAAACACTTGAGTTTAGAACTGAGTAGCTATTGACTGCAGTAAAACATGTCACTGAAATTATCAGAGCCCAGTATTTTCCCTTTTTCTTATGTTTGGCATAAAGCTGTCTGCTCAAACTGTTGTGCATAGCTTCCATTTTATACTTGTTCTAGCGTGTTTTATGTTAGAAGATTTTGGAATGAGAAATCAGCTCTTTGGAAATGGGAAGTATTATGCTGGATTTACTCTGCTGGCAAGATATGAATCACTGATTTTCTGTTCTTCATATTAAAATATTGTAGTCCTATAATTTAGCTCCTAAAGAGTATGAATGTGGAAGTTAAGAATTCCAGATGAGCACGTAACTGGCATTTTAAAGAAAAACATGTGTGTGTATATGTGTTTATGTAGATAGGTATATGTGTGAATATGTTTGTGCTTACCTAAAACAAATTTAAAGAGGAAGTGAATAGAGCAAACAGCTAAAAGTCCTTGTCTCTGTTTCAAGGTCTATGTCTGGGGGTACAATGGGAATGGCCAGCTGGGGCTGGGCAGCAGTGGCAACCAGCCCACGCCGTGCCGGATCGCAGCCCTGCAGGGCATTCGTGTGCAGCGGGTACGTCTGTGCTGCTCCTCCCCAAACCGTCCAGGAACCTCTGCAAGAGTCCTGTAGGCAGCACGTGCTGCCTTTGAAAGAGATAGTGAGGCTTGGTTAAAGTGACATCACAATAAAAAGCGTGTGTCCTGAAGTGGACCTCTGACAGCAGGGCAGAAACTGTGACCCTGTGGAGTTCAGTGGGACTTTTGCCATTGACTTCAGTGAGGTCAGGATTTTACTTAAAGAAGACTAAATTATTAGAAATGTTTGTTTTATTTTGTTCTTTTTTTTTTCCCTGTGAAAGTTAATTTTAAAAATATTTCTGTTATTTTGCTAAATAACAGAGTCTTTCTGGGATATTCCATTCCTCATTAACCCCTGCCCTTTTTTTTCTGGAAAAATGCTGCAGTTTAGCATTTTGTCTGTCTTGCAGGCTGAATTTCAGTTTAGAACTGCACTCCAGCCACAGTGACTTACTGGTGTTTAGAGTCTGAATAAATTGCCTCCCACTACCTTTGGCTGACATTTGGGATGATTCCACAGTTAATCTCCATCTTTGGAGGCTATTGCACTTTACCAAATAGCAGGGCTGCCACCAGTGTAACTAGAAAACTGGTAACTTCTTTTGGCTAATAATAAATATTTCAAGTGACTGTGGGACTGGTACTGAAAGTTTTTAATTGATTCATGCAAAATAGAGGATACTGTTGGGAAAATGATACAAACTGTTAGAAACCATCAGTTTTGTAACCTAGTGAAAATTTGCAAGAGCATTTTGAACTTTGGATGCTATTTATTGCATTTACTCAGGAAAGCTATGGATTTTTTAAGTCTTTTAAAAGAAACTCATTTAATGATATAATTTTGCATTCAGGGCCTAGGATGTAGACAGTAGCTTTTTTTGGTAGCAACTACTGTTGGATAGTAACATAATAAAATGAGTATTATGTTCCCTTGTATTTATTCTTGTATTTAGAGAGTGAATGCTCCAGTAAGTTTGGCTTAGATTCTATTTCCATCCACTTCATTTGCTTGATATTGATTAATACCATATTGTAGATCTCCACTCAGTAAATAACTTGATGGTTTATTTCATTTCAAGTACATCACATGCTTCATGGATGTCAGTGGAGTATATGTGTTTTTGGTGTATCATTGCAGACCATATATAAAGATAGGTGAACAATGTAAATTGGTTTTTGGAAGCAGTCTGTCTCTACTAAGTTACATTAACTCCTGCAGAGCAAGACTGTTGCTGGTAGTGTTGCCACTGTATGTGTCTGTATGTGGGGCATGTGCTGCATATATGAAGTGGATTTTTGGAACAATTGGATGTGAGGAGGCAGCTCAGCAGGACCGAAGGGGTTTCCACCAGAGGTTATGAGTTAATACAGTTGTGTGCTACCATCAGAATGGAGAGTTTTGTCTCTTCCCTCTCTGTCCTAGCTGATTGTTCTTGTTGCTTATCTTGTGTGGTTTTCAAACTGTACTGTGAGAGCTTTCTTTCAGTGGTGTAAGTTTAGAGAATCACAGAGTAGTCTGGGTTGAACAGCACCCCACAAACCATCCAGTTCCACCCCCTGCCATGGACAGGGACACCTTCCACTAACCTGGCCTAGAGCACTTCCAGGTATGAGAGTTAGCACAGGAGATCTCTCTGAGCACTGGAACTGGCAGAGAGACGGGGCAGTTTTGTGTGGCTGTCAGTCAAGGATGAGGGGATCAGACAGGGAGGCCTTAGCTGTTTTTCCACTGGTAAAGCTGTTCATATTGGAGCAGTTGCCAATGGAGCAAGGTCAATGCAAGACAGACAATCTTCAATTTTCTCCGTATTGTTCAAATTTGTCATATAGCTTTCCTTCTTTCTCAATTTCCAGCTATTCTTTTTGCTCTGCTCTTGAGACGTTCTGTCAGGGTTTCCCATTGATAAATTCTTTTCCCCAAAGTCACCTCATCTATTTTCCTTCCATTTTTAACAAACTTACCAGTATTTGTAATTTTTACACTAGTATAGAATCAATGGCATTAACCTATAGCATAAGATGCATCTATCTGTATTAATTTATTATTACATAAAAATGAGATTTTCTTCTTTTTATTATTTCTTGCAGGTTGCCTGTGGCTATGCACATACATTAGTGCTAACAGATGAAGGTCAGATATATGCCTGGGGAGCCAATTCATATGGCCAGTTAGGTACTGGGAATAAAAGTAACCAGTCTTACCCTACAACAGTTATTGTGGATAAGGACAGGTAATACTTACAGTCCTGAAATCAGACATTGGTTGACATACTCACAGAAGAGCTACATAAAATTATGGTATTTTTAATCTACTTTTTGGGGAGGAGAAGGAGCCTATAATTTTTTGTAGTAGTTTATCTGCTAAATGTGAACAGAATTTTCACAGAGAGTGCTTGAATCAACCCTATAACCATCCCTGTGAAAGAAAAACTGAATATTCTGAGCCTGAATATGCTATTTTCTGCTTTGGCTCACACTGTACTTTACAGGCCTTAATTGCAGTTTCCCTCCAGTGGTGTAGTTTCATTGCTTGAAATCAACAATAAAGGCTTTATTGTCTGTGAATAGAAATTGTATTTTAATATGCTACTTTTGACAAGAAGTGTACTCAGAAAAAGTGAAGGGTGGACATCTGTAATTTGTGTTATTTCTGCTATTAAATCTAGCTCATAACCCAGGAGAGAGAGAAAGGGAGGAGTTCTTCCTTGATATTGTTGCCTAAAAATTAAGCTTCAATTTTTGCAAATTTTAAATATTTTCCTCTAGGTCCTTGAGAGATAGCGAGGCAGTTATTTCTGTTGCTGTTGTAAAGTCATGTATGTATATGGTCAGATATCTTGATTTTGGGCTCCTGTTTTGAATAAGAAGGAAAGTGGGATATCTGTCTCAACCCTGTGTCTGAGTACATCATTGTGAGGGAGTGGCATCACTGCTTTCGTGATGACACACGGCCTGATCTTGAATGTTGCTATTTCTTTGTGGTTTTGCTTCAAATGTTACTGATTTTTTTTTCCCAGGCAGTTTAGCCACCGTTAAAATGTTACAATAAAAATTTTATACAATTCTTAATGTTGCATGCTGCCTCTGCCTTTTGTTGGTCAGAATATAAATTCTTGGTGTCAGTGAAAATACTGCCTCACTAAAGCCTGCAAGATTTGTGCATACAGCTTTAAACAAGTTGTTTCCCTGCCATTATCCCCAGGCAGCTGAGAACACAAGTAAACAAGCAGTAGTTCAGACTGCAAAACAGTGGATTGTGTAATGCTGTACACAGTGGGAGTTTTGAAGTCCTAAATCAACCTCAGGATTAGAGACATAGCCTAGCTAAAAGACACTTAGAAACAGATTTAAGTGCTGTTTTGCTCTAAATTTTAATTTTCAAAGTGGAAGTCCTTTAAGCATAATAATAATTATATGAGTAAGAAATATGTTTAACTTGTTGGTTTATAACTGTTACCAATAAGCAAACAGAAAAAATGCTTCAATTATCTTTCAATTATAAGCCAAAATGCAATTTTTTTTTTTAATGCCGCCTCATTTTTTTCTTCATCTTCTCCAAGTATTTGTTCTCTACAGCTTAATACAGCCACTCATCTCACTGCCCAGCACCACCAAGGACATTCAGAGCCTAGAACCTCATGATAGCTTTGCTTGAGAGAGCCGAGGGGTCAGCAGAGCACGTGCTGTAGCAGATACAGGGCTCTGCTGCAACACTGGCTGCTGGCTCCCGAGATGCTTTTCCAAAGAGAAACTTGGAGTGCATGCTGTTTGCAGAAACGCTGGCAGCCCTTATAATTTTGCTGTGTATGACCAGAAAGCATTCCTGCTCGCATGCATACTTAAAAGTATGTCTTGCACTAGAGAAAGACAGGAGGCAGTGAGCTTATTCACTGCATTTTGTTCTTGATGGGAGTGACTTGCTTTTTTCCTTTTGTTTGTTTCCCTTGTAAACTCAGAGTTATCGAGATCGCCGCCTGCCACTCTGCGCACACGTCGGCGGCCAAGACGCAGAGTGGCCAGGTGTACATGTGGGGCCAGTGCCGGGGCCAGTCCGTGACCTTCCCCCACCTCACCCACTTTGCCTGCACGGACGATGTGTTCGCCTGCTTCGCCACCCCTGCTGTCATGTGGCGCCTGCTCTCCGTAGGTCAGCTGAAATATTCTTTATTCTGACACCTTCTAAGTAGAATCACTGGTTCATAAAACCAGTTGCATGTATTTGAAGCCTCAACATAGTTCCTCACAAAAATTTACACCGGGAAGCCTAGTCATAATGAAATGTTGTGCATGTGTAAGTGGGAATGTGAAATTGTAAAAAATCGCTGAAGCCTGAGAGCAGGTCTAAATAATTGTCCGTTGTATTGATGTGGTTCATTTCTATGGGGAAATGCCTCGGGTTTGGGAGCGGTTTTTTTGTGTAACCTCTGTATGTGACTGTCCAGTGGCTCTGGGTGGAAAAGCTGAGTTTGAATTTGGAGATTCAAGTTTAGGAACTCTGAAGCTTTCTTTGATGTCCTTAAGTAGACTACTAAGAATTGAGGGATCCAAACTCCCATGTTCTGAATTGGCCTTAAGCACTCAGCCTCATCTCAAGTGATCATGGCTTGGCCTTCTGAAGAGATGAGTTCCTGGGTCTCAGATGTTTGATTAGCGTTGACATCTGTCTTCCTGGCCTTGACTAGAAAGACTTAAGTATATAGCACTGGCTACCAGAGAGCTCATTCTTCAGCTACAATTTAATCCCATAATGGTTTCTAATAAAGTTGTTAGGGTGTTGTTTGGTTTTTTGTTTAGTTTGTTGGTTTTTTTTTTGTTGTTGGGGTTTTCTTTTTGTTTGTTTTGGCTTGTTGTGGGTTTTGGGTTTTTGTTTATTGTTGTTCTTGGGGGATTTATGTATTTGTTTATTTTGTGGGGGTTTTTTGTGAGGGGTTTGGGGTTTTTGACTTGATTCTTGGTCCCTTTGGAAATAGTGCTACAACACTGTAGCAACATTGTACCAAAGCTTAAATAAGGTGAAACATTTCAGGAGGAAAAGGTTACATTACTTTTAAACAAAAGAAGTTTCAGATGCACTTTCAAAGTCACTCTTTCACATGTGCCAAGTAGTCTCTCCAGCATCCTGGCACTATTCAGGAGGTCTGAGCAGGGTTCCTTAGGATGACACAGAATAAAGGATGCTGCCTATCAGGCCCTTGTCGTGTCTCCTGGTTGTTTTTAGTTAGGTGACTCTATGCTGGTTTCAGTTGTGCTTTTTTGCACACTCCAGGAGCTGAGGGTGATTGGCCTCTTCATCCTGTCCCACCCTGGCAAGCTGTCAGGACTGTCTCACTGTTGTTTGTCATCTGATATGTGCTTGGTGACAATCCTCAGGCAGCTGTGTCCTGGATCCTACATCTGCTGACCTGTATGCCAGGGACATCTGCCATGCTTACAGCCCTTCTCTGTCCTTTTTATTCTGGTGCTTCCACACCCAGGCATTCCCATTCTGTCCATGTTTGTGGCAGTTCTAACATTTCTGATATGATTTCAATTCTTAGCACTGGCTGCTAAGGAGTTTTCTTGGCTTTGTGCCTTGTCTCTTCATTTCCTTCCTCCAGTTCCCCTTTCACTGCTGTAACACATAAAAGCATCTGGTTTCCCTCTAAGAGTTTCAAAGCTGAGCCCTATTATATTCAGTTTTTCTCTGATGGCTGTAGAAGTCAACTGGAGATGTCTTGGTGCACATCTGGATTGCCAGTTAACTTTGAAGAAGAGTTTCAGCTTTGCATTAGTTGCTAAAATGCTTACTTTGTTTATTGAATAAATAAACCACACATTGTACAAAATAAGAACTAACTATTTTACAGTATCATTGTTTCAGAAATTATTTTTTTTTATCATCACTATATCTGATTTCTTTTCCCCATCTATTTTATCTGTACTGACCCAAATTGTTATACCTGACATTTTCTAAATGAAATGCAAAATGACTGTGCTAAACAAAGTATAACAGTATCAAAGTGTGTGTTAAGCTTTTTCTAGAGCTTGTGGAGAAGGTATTTCCATTTCCATCGGAGTACTATTCTAATTTCTAGCTTGATAGGTTACAGGACTTAGAATTTGTGTCATTTTCTGTAGAGAGCAACTAATTACTGACCCACAAGATCTGTGTAAACCCATAATGTGTATTTATATGTTAAGAAGACAAAATGTTGTCATAGTTAAGAGTGAGGTTTGAGGGTGGAGTGGATTGTTGATTTTTTTAGTAGTATTACAGAAGATGGTTTTCTGAGGCTATGTGATAGAGATTTGGATCAGTTCAGGAGGTAAAACTTTTGTATGCAGATAATGGATGACTTTTTAAAGCTGTTTGGTAACTTAATAGTGCAAATATCATGTGCACAGTGGGATATACAGACATATGACACAAACAGGAATATGCAGACATGGACACACTGTGCTTTTAACACCATTAAGTCTAGGGAAAGCTATTCTTTTAGAATAAACTTGTAAGTGTTGGTATTTACTTTTTTGGACATTGCACTGGGCAGTTTCACTGCAAACCAATATGTTGCTTCTACAGTAGTTTCATTTTTGCTGTAATATATTGTCTCCTCATGGGAGCATTTCATAACATTTTATTATGATTTTTTTATTGATCTTTTGAGAATCTTATAATAACTAACAGTTTAAATTTGATATAATTTACTCAGTAATGGTTGATAGCATTTTTTATCACATGGAGCAATGTAATTTCTGAGACTGTTAACTTTTTTTTTTCTTATATAGACGAGTTAGAGGAGTGGAATTCACAGGTTTTTTGACAGAGATATTCGCTTGGAGCAGGAAAGGAAAGCTGCCCTTTCTTTGCCTTTCTGGTCCATACAGAACACATAGGCTCCTGGGGGGGTTTACTAACCTTAAGGAGATGTATTTATTAAGAGTGTTAATTGCTGACAGACACCCAGAATATTGTAGTGGGAGATATTTATATTGCTTATGACTTTCTAGTAAGTCCCCTATTAATTCTAGAGCCTGATGACCACCTAACAGTAGCCCAGTCACTAAAGAAGGAATTTGACAACCCTGAAACTGCAGACCTGAAGTTCCTGGTGGATGGAAAATACATTCATGTCCATAAAGTTCTTCTCAAAATTAGGTAAGGAACAAACCTATAAATTGTATAAACTTAAAAATTCCCTCTTCCCTAAGCCAGGGGTTCATGTTGTTCTTCACTGTTACTCTCTTGGTAATTACAAACATGTTGCTCTACTACTTGCCTTTCCATCACTTTCCTCCATCTGACATTTATCCTCCTTTGTGCTCCTAAATGGCCTTGACCTTGATTTCCAATAACCTTTTTCTGCCGAGGAAAAGGCTCACTTCCTTCTGCTGTCTTTTCTCAGTAGTTAGAATCTGTTTTTTCCTCCTTTATATGCTTGGTTTCCTCCACCAGAATGATTTGAGGGGGTTGTGTTTATTCTTGGCACTTGTTCCTTTCACAGGACCCTTCTGTTGTTTCAGCAACTTCTGTAGGTGCTATCCAGATGATCTTTTTTCCCCTTTGATGACAGATTCCTTGTTCAACATATTTTAAACATTCTTATCAGAGAGTTTGACTTTTAAGCTGGCTTTTTTCCCCTGTTTTTAAAACTTTTTACAAGTAAAGACCACTTTATGGTGAGATTTGATGTAAGCAGATCAGAATGATCTCATTGTTATTCACATGCAGAGAGAGTAATTTGTTACTGCTGATATGATTACTCCTGTGATATTCTAGAGACACTGCTTTGTATCTCTTCTGCCTTGCCAACTGCTTCTGCTTCATCCTTCTCATTGTTATAATTTTTTTCTCTTTGCTATTTTTTTTCTCAAAATGCTTGGCTATCACAGCTTATCACCACTTTCATCTTCCTACTTTTGCTCCTTAGTCCTGTTAGTCATTTCTTGTATATTACTGTGTAAAATTAAAATTCCCTGTTAATTCTTGCCTGCCCATATTTTGTCGAGTTTTTTTTTTCTGCCCTCTTCTTATCACTCTGATTATCTGTGTTACTTTTTGTTTTCCCTTTACTGGCTTCATTGCTTGTACATTACACTCGTGCCTGTAGTCCAACCTCTTCATTTGGAATGCCATGTGTTCTCCATCAGGTGCCATACCAAATCTTGTCTATGCCCAAAATGTTCCTGAGGTTTGTTTTCCTGATAATCAGACTATATTTAGCTTTCCCTTATTTCCTTTTTTTTGCTCTACTTTTCTCAGATTATATGGCATTCTATGAAGGAAATAAGGCTAATTCTAAAATGGATTTACATCTATAGTGTTACCAAAATACTGTGAAGGAATACTAAAGCATCAGGCACAGTCTGTAAATTAATATTTTCTTTACTGTCATGATGCAACTGGATCAGAGTACTTAAAAAGATATTTTGCAACATTTGGCCTCTTCTGGCGCATTGTCATTAAAGCAGTGCTGGTAAAAGTTTCTTTTCATTGTTTAGTCATTTCTTTACTGCTCATGAGGACTTTTTTCCATCTTTTTCTATTCCTGTTCTTGACCTGGAGCCCATTGTTGGTGGTTTCTGGCTGGCAGTGGTGGACCAATGTCAGGGAACACCCGGCTCAGTGGGAGCAGCCCACGGCCAGCACTGCCTGCAGCAACAGAAACATCGCAGTGTGCCAGTGGGATTTGCCAGCTCTGCATTCAGCCAGCCAGAACTGAGTATCTGGGCTGTGTCTGCTGGGGAATAGTGACAGGGAGAGAGACACTCCAAAGGATGAGTCACTCCAAGATACTCTGAGGACTGGAGGATGTGTGCTAACCAATTTCTCTTTGCACTTACTTATTAATTTTTCAGGGATCAATGTGTGCCACCTTCTCTCTGACTTTTGTGTGGTGCCATTGGGACACAGACCATTCCCAAGGTCTGATCCAGGCTGGATGGATAGCTTGGTCGTCACTACTCAGCATGGGGCTCTGTGAAACAAAACAATGAGGTTTTGTCTGCCTCTCCCAGTGCCAGAATCTGGTAAAAGATGTGGGAGAAGCTAGATAATGACTCTCATTTCTTGGTGAATTTGACAAGGGGATCCATTATTTTACTAAAAGCCCCAAAATACTGAGATAAAAAAATTATTTCAATAACCAGTAAAATGTTAAGAACTTAAGTCATTATTTAAATAATTCCTTTTAATTTGGATTTAAGTGGTACTGTCTTTATGTTGTTGTTTTGTCTCAGAGACATTAAAAGGAAACCATCCTACTTTTTACTGGAAAGTTTGAGTAAAAGAAGAGAAAATTCAGATGTGGGAGAGTTGCAAATTAGTGTAGTACAAAGAAGTACAAGTTTAATTGTGTTGTTATAGGAAAAGTTATCAGAAATGTAGATGTTCATTTTTATCAACAAAAATTTTGAAAACAATGTACATGTTAGGATGCTTTTTAGGGAATAGTAAGTTAGATGCATTGTAAATTACTGTGAACTGGAAGTTGCAGATTACAGCTGCCAAGGGCAGTGCTTTGTCCTTGTTTGTATCTTGTTTTGTGTCACAAAAGTATTCAGACTTGTAAGAAAAAAGTGATGGAAGATTTGACTGAGAGTGTCTTCACTTTCAGTAATTTAATCCTTGAATGTAATGATTAATACTAAATTGTGTATGGACTCTGCCATTGGAATAAATGATATCTAAAATTATTAATATTTTCCCTCTTCATTAGGAAATGCTATAAGAATCGGGGTCAAATCTCAGAAATGTCTAAGTTAATTGTAAACTTTTTCTGCTACGAGACAGGTAATAAAATTGATTGTTAATGTATTTAAGAAAATGGCATCAAAGCCAGATGGATAATCCTTGCAGATATTGTAAGTAGAAATGGAGCCTGCCATAAAATATTAACAACAAATAGAATTCTGAATTATATGTATCAGGCTTATAAGGCTTAAAGACATGAACATGTTCAAAGCAAGAAATCATCTGCTTGTGTATTTAGTCTGTTAGGACTGATCAATTTTTTTACCAACTTCTTGCTGCAGCTCATCTTTCAAGCTTAACTCTTTACAGTGTACAATCTTTGTTCATGTTTTGTAGGTGTGAACATTTCCGCTCCATACTCAATAATGATGATGAAATTATAGAAATGAGTGAATTTTCTTACCCTGTTTACCGAGCCTTCCTGGAATATCTGTATACAGACAACATTAGGCTCCCTCCTGAAGATGCAATAGGTATTTGCCACAAATGGAAATTACTCCAGATTATTGTTTTTGAGAGGTTGAATCTATGTGTCATTACAGAGTAAGGAAAGCAGGGCTTGTTAGTTTTAGTTTCATTAGCACTTAAACCTTGAGTTTGGCAGGTGTCAGGAAGAAAGGTTGCAGTAGCAAAGGAAACATGCCCAAGGAGAATGAGTGGTGGGCATGCAATGAGATCAAAGGTGAAAAGTTTTTAGAAAGAATTCATTGTGTCCTTTATTAAGAACTTTCTTTTATTTAGAAAAGCACTAATGCCATCCTGAAACTTTACTTGTTTGAGTAGCTGTAGCGATTTTTGATCCTGAATTAAAAGGGAGCTCTTCCCTGCATGAATTTAAGAGGATGCAAGTCAGTAATTGATGTCTAGAATGAGAACAAGAGAACAGAACACTTGCATAGTAATAAAATGGTTCCTTTTTTGATAGGTCTGTAGGGGACCTTAAAAAATGCACACATCATCTAGGGAAAAAAAACAGAGCAAGCCTTTGATTAATTCAGCCTAAAACAAAAGGGTAATTGATAATTTGAAGAGACACTAATATATTTTGCACCAGAATAGTCAAAGCTGTATAAATTTTCACAGGGCTGCTAGATTTGGCAACACTGTATAGAGAAAACAGACTGAAAAAGCTTTGCCAGCAAACGATCAAACAAGGCATTTGTGAAGAGAATGCCATTGCTCTTCTTTCTGCAGCTGTCAAGTATGAAGCTCAGGTAAGAACTTCTCTTCAGATAAACAGTTGTTTTCTGAGAAATGAAGTAAACATGACTGTATTTAGCTGATGAGATATGATTACTGTAATTTCCCTTTCTGGCTTAACAAATGTTTGTTTTCCCATTTTTAAGCTGCAAAATAAAAACTAAAAAACCCCCAGTTTAGTGTTTTCTTCCTGCCCTTTTTTACTTGCCTCTGTGAGTCAGGGTTCTTAATGTGCTTCCTTCCTTGTCATGTGGCATGGCAGGGCATGGCACGCAAATTTCTCACTGCCATTTACATCTCTGCCTTTGGATTTTGCCCTTTCACTCCCCGAGTTCTTCACCTGATCATTTTGTCTGCCAGTGACTGGTACAGTCATTCTGGTGCTGACTTTTACAGGCAGTGGGAGAAGTTACCTGTAAAGTCCCTGCATATTTACACTTGTGCTTTTATAAAAAAATCCACTTTTGCAGTACTGTTTACAATGAGTTATGCTGACATACAACAAATTACCTATTGCTAATACTCCCCCCATTTCCTGTTATCTGGTTTGCCTTTGATTCTGGAATGAGTCACTAGCACTCAACCTGTTATCCATGTTTTTTTGGTAAACAAATACTTTCAAAGATATCTTCCTTTTCTCATCTTCTTAGTGCTATGATGATTGTGGAAGTAGTGGTGGGTTTTATTATTCAAAAAGTCTGCTTGTGTATTTTAGATGTGGGGGACATTGCTATAAATACCTTTCGGGTATGGGAGGCAAGTAGAAAAAAGAGACTGAAATAAACACTGAATTAAAAATGTTGCAGCAGTCAGTGCTGCATGGAGATGGCAAACTACAGGAGATGAATTTGGGTAGGAGTTGCAAAAAGGAGGCTGGATGTCAGTGAGTTCTGTGCATCAACAGGAGATAACAAGAGGTTAGTAGGTGGTAAGATCACAAGCTGTCAGTTACAAGGTATTTGTACCCCAGGTATCAGAAACAGAGGGCAAGTATGGCTGGTGCAAAGAGGAGTTGTGCTTTCAGTGTAAAGCTGGGCTGGGCTGATACAAGCTCAGCATAGCAGGGAAATCTCTACAGGAAGGCATGACCCAATGGTTTGGTTCTTTTAACAGCAGATTTTTCATTAAAATTTTATTCTGTATTTTTTCCTCTTACAAGATTTTCAACATTTTTGAACATCTTCAAAGCAGAAGTATTTTGATTGGTCTGTATCAGGTGGAGTAGTTAAAGATATGTTTAAGTGCATTGTGATGTAGTAAAACTAGCCTGGACAAAGTACCAGAGTTCATAACACTTGAGACACAATAAAAGGGATTGGCTGGGTAACTAAATACATGTTATCCTCCTCTTCCTTCTATGATTCAGAGTTCAAAACATGTAACAGTTCAACACAGTTGTCAGATCATAAATGGGTTCCCCTGCCCTGGCTGCAGCTTGTGTCAAACTCAGGAATGTATTGTTGCCCTCCTCCCTACACCCACAGCTCAGAAAGGGATGGAAATAGAAGTGCAACAAAGATTTCTTTATCAAAGACATGGGGGTGCCCTCTGTCTAAGGAATTGGGGAATAAACCAGGATCTTCTAGTGTACTACATTAATATAGTAACTCCTAGTTTGAGAACCATGTGCAGTGTGTCAGGACTTCAGTAGAAAACTGCCAAAAGAAGGATTATGAAAGAGGCCTCATATTTTGGAAGTTTGAAAAGATAGAATTCTTTTTTTTTTTTCGCTAAATGTGAACGTTGCAAATGAAAGATTATAGTGGTGTGTGACATGCCATTCACATTGTAAATTAAATGAAGACTGACTTGATTACTGTATGCATCTGTTGGGATTTAAGATGTGTGAAAATAATTTCTCTTATTCTCAGAAAATACGAAGAGTTTCTGCTACAGGCTATTTTAAAGCATATTTTTTCATATAAACTGTATCCAAAATTTAGCCTAATCATCTTCTATAAAACTGAATAAAAAAGACAGTAGTTTTTGAAACTGTAAAATGAGTGACCAGGATTCTCTATAATCTGTGGTTTTCTTCATACCAGCACCAGAAAAATTAGCTGCTGATAATTTTAACTAGCATAAAAGTTCACCCATCAACTGTAAGGCAGCTCAGGTTCTGACAGTACCATTTCAAAAGTCTGCTGAAACTAAAGGTGTCACAGTCTTTTATTTCCAGCATGACTAGCATATCTGCTGTTTTTCACAGGACCACTACTGAGTGCAGTGCAGGGAAGACAAGAAAAGAGTTATTGATGCTCTAGTAGTTCTGTTTGGGGCCATTTGATGGTTTCACTTGTTGGTAACTTTTCTAATGAATGTGTAATAAATTCTAGTGCATGTGATGGAATTCTAGAGTTGATTTAGGTGGCTACTCCTATTTTCTCAAAGTGGGTTTATTTAATAGTTTGTATGAACAAATTTCATTCTATCATTTGTGATCTCATCAAAAGGATCAGAAAAGGGATTGATAATGGGAACAATCTGGTATATCATCTGCTAATTAGATGAGCAATTTGAAACAAAATAATAATGTTAGTAATTCTATCAGTCATTCATATTACAAATTATTTAAATTTTTTTCTAGGACTTGGAAGAATTTTGCTTCAGGTTTTGCATAAACCATTTGACTGTTGTTACACAAACTCAAGGCTTTGCAGACATGGACCATGACCTCCTGAAAAACTTCATTAGCAAAGCCAGCAGAGTGGGAGCATTCCGAAATTGAGTCTGACTACTACCAAGCTGAAGAGCACGTCCTCTTCCCTTCTGGAAATAATTTTCCTTTGGAGAACTTCTCCGTGGTCAGAATGTGCAATGGTTTGGAAGGAAAGTCTCAGTGTCCATCAGCTTGGGGAGTGTTTAGAAGTCCACTAACATGTAGGTTTTGTTGTAAGGATGGCTGCAGTGTAGATGTGTGGTGATTGTTCATTGCCAACAGCCAGAACTTAACACAAAAAATCTGATGTAGTAACTAACTACCCTTTCCCACTCAAAGTCAAGCAAACTAAGCTTCTCATTATCTAGTCTGTCTTTTTTATTTTAAACAGTCTATGTTTGGATTTTATGGGACAGTGACCTGTTTGCTGCTAAAACTTTCATAGTGTATTTTTGTCTCAAAACTCCGTTAATATGCCATAGTGGCTTCTTTTTATAATCCAGTGAAGGTATAAACTTGTTTTTCTGGACATATGAAAAAATAACATAAGTTCTTTAGGATGAGAGGCTTTCTGATTTGTAGGAGGGTATGTCTCACTAGGTGTTTATTTATGAGGAGCTTCAGCAGGATATTAGAGTTCTGAGTTACCAACACATCTTATTATTTAGCCAGAATGAAAAGGATCTCCCTTTCCATTACACCGGGCATGGTCCCTGGCACCCCAATGGAAGCACTCACCAAGTATGGATGTGCATTGTCATGCTGTGAGTTTTACTGCTAAGAAAACCACCTAGTTACAAACCCAAACAAGATGTCAAGAAAAGGAAATCTGCTTGAGGCTTATTTATTCCTGTGTTACTGTCTCTCCTCAGACAGATCAACTTCAGAAAAATTGAGAAAAAGGTGATTTTGAAGTGGTAACTTCAAATTAATTAAAATGTACGAGTGAACTGACATAACATTCCAGTTGGTGATAAAGGTATCTTGTCCAAATGTGGCATTTCAGATCCTCCTGTGGTCAGAGCAGAGAGGTGACCACAGCACTTCCCTTTCAGGGCTGTTCAGGAGAGAGAAGCTGCCCTCTGGACACGCCTCTCTCCCAGCACTGATCCTCAGTGGCTAAGGCAGAATAGATGCTTCATTCCTAGATGGCTGAAGTGAGTTAAGGTGAGAAGCCCACCCAGTGCTGCACAGAGGAAGGTTTGCCCTATTACACAAGATGTGGAGCTCATGGAGCATTTACTTGAATTTTCTAACAGGTAATTGTCAATTAACCCTGAGAATTTAAGATTTTGACTGAGTAAAATGACTTCAAGTGCCTTTTGTAGTATTTTACGATTAGGGAAGACAAAAAGCTAGATCAGTACACTAATATAATTATATAATAGTAGTCATGCAGCCTTCCTGCAGGTCCCTGCTGTGCCACAGCATCCTTAATGATCTTTTCTAATCCTCAGATGTGGTTTCTAAGCACTTAATTCCCTTAAATTATCACATTCTCATGTCTAAGGTGGAAAAATCTGTTCTTTACTATATTGAAGGCTCATTTCTCAAACAATCCTGTTCTTTGAGGAAGAATAGGAGGGAGAAGAGCAGCACATATTCAGAAAAGGAGTAGTGAGTAGTACCCTCTTCACCTCAGGCCCTGTGCATGTGGGTGGAAAGGTGAAGAAGGGAAGTAGCAGAATTTACTTAGGAAGAGGGTGATGAGCAAGTATTTTAGAAAATGCTGTGGTAAATATTTACTTGTGTTTCAAATATTTGCCTCAGATTCTCACTAGAAAGATATTGGGTCATCTACTGCTTACAAGCACATTCTGCCACCCCCTCAGCAATGAGTACAACTTCCTCCAGCAGCGTTAAGTCCGTTCTTAGCAGCTGTGTCAGTGTTTTGTATTCAAACAGAAGTGGTCAAAACCTTTCCAATACCTAATGCAGATTCATCAAAAACACATCTTTGCTGGGGGAGGAGATCAGTTTTGTAAATTTGTGCTGAGAAGCACTTGACACTAGCACACAGGCAGAGGTTACTGCAGACTGAAACAGTGTCATGCTAGGGCACAACTTTACTGCCAACCCTGTGTGCTCTAGCCCAGCACTGATCATACCAAAGCATAGACACAAGGGATTCTATGTAAGCCAAGGCTGCTTATCCCTGTTAAGCCTAAGATGCCAGATCTGCCTGGCAGCACTTCCTTAAAGGTAGCAGTGCACAGAATGAGGCTGTACAACCACATCCCAGCCTTGGGGCAGCAGCTGACACTGTCCCACCTGCCCCAGAGCATCACACTGGCACACATCCAGTCTCACTGGGAAATGGAACCAGCTGGGCACCTCCATCCTGGTACTGGGTTGTCTGTGATCACTCCAGCTTTCCTAAGGTGTGTATTATGAAAAATCTCTCCACACTTTTCTGTTGTTTTACTCAGAAGAATCAAACAAAAAACTATAAATGTGAAATGATGAGGGGTTTTTGCCTCAACATCTGATCAGAAGCTTTCTCTGGCTCTCTGGGGACACTACTGCATGAAATGATAGCACTGGAGAGGGGCACCACTCTCCTCCATTAGCTCAATTTCATAACAGTAGTTCAGCAGAGATTGCAGCTGAAATGGCATGCTGCTTGCAACAAGACATTTTTGGCTTAATAGAACCAAGTGTCTTTTTTTTCCAATTTACTTCCTTCCTGCTCATTATTTCCGACCAACCGTACACATTAAAGCCAACTTGCAATTTCAGAATAACTGACAAAGCCTATAATTTTGATAAAAAGCATCTCTGGACTGAATGAGGATGATTCTAAAGGTTCAATGTGTCAGCACTGGCTTTTATTCTGTATCATCTGACCTGGATGTGATAGTGTTACATTCATAGAAACATTTATTTTTTAAATTTGTTAATCTTCATTGCATGTGTTGAAAAAAAACACTCCTACTGGCTTAGGTGGTTAAATGTGGGTGCATGGATGTAAATATGCTTGAAACCCAAACATGGGAAATTTTAGAAGAAATTAGGGATGTGTTTTACTGTTGAGAAATAGTCTGCAACAACCTTTGTTTGTGGATCTTGCAGGTTAAATACTTAATAAAGTACTGTTCTGTTTTAGAATACCACAGACAAAAGGTATTTATTAAAAAGCAAAAATCTGGTCAAGCAGAAACTGTGTCTGGGGTTTAAATAAAGAACAATGTTCTACTTTCCAGAAAGGAGTATGGAAAGAAAAAGAAATTACAGGGGTAGGGTCATTTGAAGGTTTTCCTAAATTACTGAAGCTAAAAGCCAGCACTGCATTGTCATCTAGTACTCACCTAGCTGTAGAGTTTTGTTACAATGCTTGGTAACTATGTAAACTGCTGTTTTTATATAACCCCAACACTTTCCATAGACTTTCCTTGTAAAACAAAGCATTTATTTGCCCCAATAGAGGCAGGATTCATTGGCCACCACCCAATGATGTAGAAAGTTTACACCCTGAACATAAATGGTTTTTTTGTTTCTATACAAACTTGCCATTAATAAAAATGCCATAATATTTAAAACAGTTTGAGTGGGATTTTTTTCCTTTCTTTTCAGTAAAAATGAAGAAAGTATGATGCTTGTAGACTGAACTGTGTGGGGGGGGAAAAAATGTAAACCAGGTAATATTTCACAGAGGTACCTTGAAGGCTATTTGTGTTCTTCAGGAAATCACTGTCACCAGATAACACATCTGTAAGCTGGAGAATTTCTTAAAGTGTATTTCCACCGTTCAAAGAAATCAATGCCCTGGTGACTTAATAAACTATGATTAATAAAATGGCCCTCAGAACACCAATCATTGCTTCTTAAGCAAATGTATATTATGACCAGCTTGTTACATTTTAAAATATTTCAGCTTGTAATGTGTGCTGTTATCACACAGCCATAATCTTCATTTTTATCAAATCATAATTTGATACAGGTGTCTTCCTGCAGCCACTCCTGTGCCTGAAAATGTGCACTTCCACATTCCCTGTGGCTGTTGTGGTACCTGTGAGGAACATGCTGTTTATTACAGCCCCTCTGCACGAGCAGTGTCTAAGCACAAAACTCTTCACTTGCAAGTCCAAAGGCAGGGAGGAAGAGAAAAGCTGCCATAAGAACAAAGAGCATTTGGAAACACTGGACAGCAGGAAGAGATTAAGGTATAAAACATCAAATGGAGAGGCTGGGAGACAGCTCATCCACCTTCACATGGCTACACAGCCAAGCCAATAGATTCAATTACCTTAAGCACCAATGGACAGAAAAGGGGCCTTGGATGGATGCAACTCACCTGACCTCCTCTTACAGCCAGGGCTTCAGCTTTCCACAGAAATTGATGCTTGGTATTAAGCATCTAAAATGGCCATCACATTTTGTGCCCAGCTTCTGCTGTGATTCCAAATTTTCTTTTTTCCTGGAACAGTTTCAGTATTCCAGGCCATTTTTAGTACAGCAAGGTCTTACTCTAAGAAAAGCACTGTCAAACACAGTAAGATTTCCATATCTTAAAAAAAAGCCAGTCGTTTCAATACACATTTATTTGGATCAGTACCATATGAAATCACCTAATATAAGAAAATCACTGACTATAAATCCTTTAAAAGCTATTTTATTTATCTTGAAAGGCGAGAAACTGATTAGTTGTATAAAATAATATTGTATATTTGATGCAAAGCCTTCAGTCTGAATAAAAAAAAAATACATTGTCACAGTAAAGAAAGAATGAATCTGTTTAGATACTGGACTCTGTATCATCCCTGTAGCCAAAGGACTGCTCTAACAGAGCTTACAGTCAGTGCACCCCAATGTTAACATATATCCTGTCTGTAAAACTGCAAAAAGTGAGAAAATAAATGTAAGATACTCTGGAAAGTTCTGTGCATTTTACAGTAAGAAAGTTGAAGCCATATGGAGTCTAAAAACCCCCTCAATATTATTTAAAAATTAATTTACAGTTTTTGCTGCTTATAGAATTTTTAGTAGTTCTAGGGTTAGCTTTGAATCAACACAAGAATGGATCTTTAAAAAGCTTTCTACTGTAAGTACTCTAGGATCAGCTAAACAATCTGTTAATAAGCTACCTGGAAGACACTGGTTTAAAACACTGGTGTCATGAATAGCATGCTTTTCTACTGTACCTGTTCTTAATTTAAGTAGCTGCAAAAGCTAAATTTCATTAAAATTGGTAATTTTAAAGCAAAACAATTTATTTTCTTATATTTTAATCCACTGGAAATAAAACATGTGCTTCTGTTAATTGGCTATTTTAACAAAACTTTGTTGCTGCAAGAAAAGTTCCAGTATCTGATTCAGTAACTTACAAATACAAAAGATGAAAAAAGTATTGGATGGTTTTGTTTGGGTTTTTCGCTGGTTGCAACTGTTGACAAGCTGCCCAATTAACTGCCTTTTCAATAAAGTGAAGGCAGATGGATTTTCCCAACGTGGGTTCACCACGTTCAGGTTTTTGCAGATGCTGCAGTAAGGCCAAAGGGAGAGGCCCTGTACTTTCAGAGACCAGGCTGCTCCTACCTGGAACCCTACTGGAGACACTCAGTTTACAGCTATTTCTCAAGCTGTTTGGCTTGGCAACAATTGGATGAAAATTTGAAGAAATCAAGAAAATTCTACATCATTAGAATTTTGAAATCTCATGTGTACCAGGTATGGTTTAGGTTTGTTGTTTTGGTTTGGTTTTTTCCCCTTTTAATACTTGAGATTTCCCAAGATAAGAAAGGGCACATCAATTACTCTGCATATGGAAGAAGATTCAGCTTCTGGAAAGATTCAGTGTGGGATTCTGGGATGAATCTCTATGGGATTCATACTCCATGAAATTCAAACTGAGGGACAGTGTCACTGCCCTCCAAAATGACACTGGGGTGAGAGCTGGGGAAGCAAAACTACAAAATGCTACAAAAGTGTTGGTTTCAGTAGTAAGGCTACAAAATGAGTTCACTTTGAATTCAGGTTGTACTCCTGAGGCAAGGCCCCTTCTCTGCAAGGCCCCCAGCTGCCGTCCAGTTTAATTTAATGGGAATTTGATGTGCTAATTATGAACAGAGACAGAAATCTTTGCACTAATTGGCCCACCATTTTCAAAATTTGCAAGTAATGAAAATCTAAAAATCGAATCTAAGAAACAAAATTAGTGCATTTCAAATCATTCTAGCTAATATTTTATCTTTAAACATAAAAAAAATCAATCCAACAAGACTGAATTGGCTTAAATCAGTAATGCTGCAACAGGAAATTCAGACACTTTCCAAGACTTCTTAAAAATCCTCAAAAAATATATAAATTAAATTCAGTGGCTTAAATTGTATATATGCTACATCATAAGGCAAAGTATCATGGAAAACATTTAACAATTTAAAAAGTACAAATGCTTTCAACTAGCAGTTTGGAATAAAAAGCAACTAAAGAAGCAACTCTATTAATGAAGGCTGTAAAACAAAAACAATCTTAAGAGGGCCGGCAGTGCAGCCCCTGGTCCTGAGAAGAATCTCACTTTTCTTCACTGGCTGAGGTATCATTTCCATCATTCAGCTTCTGCTTTTGCATTCTTGTTCGAGTAGATGCTACAAGAAAACCCAACGAACAAAAATAATGGAATGCTGTCTTCACAATTACTTTGGACTGATGATTAGAGAAATTTGTAATAACACAAGGAATACAAGTACATTATTGTAAACAAACAGAATCCCTCATTATAAGATGAACATCTAATTTTGCGTTGTTTCAGCCATTCTTGCTCAATCTTACAGATCTTAGGAAATTCTTTCCACCTGTTCACTCCAATTCTCATTGTCTCTGTCCCCTCACTGTGTCCATTTCCATCCTCCAGGCAGGCAGATGGTCTGTGTCACATCAGGAATCTCACCCTGCAGCCAGGCACAGGCTGTGGGCTGAGCAGTGCCCACATCCCAGAGAGAGCCTGCCCAGGAATGCCTTTTCCTCTCAGTGGCACACACCAACACCACTGGACAGGAGACAGAGCTCTCCTTCTTAACCTCTGCCACAAGGAAACACAAACATTTTCCTCCTGCCTTAAAATAAAGGAGAAGTGCCTGGATCCACACTCATATCTATCTTGATGAGGAATGTAAAAGTTTTTAATGGGTAAATCTGCTCAGCTGCAGAGCTCAGATTCTCAGAGTGAGAATGCCTGGCCAGGCCAAGCGTGCTCCTTCTCATGAGTGGAAAATACAACTTAGATGTGGGGTTGGGGCTGTTTTACTTTTCATGAGCTAGATTTGAGTTTCATTTCAAAACAGAAAAGTGATCCCATAAGATCTGAAAGAAATGCTGACCCACAGTACAAGAAAAAGCAGTCTCAGACATTCTCCTATAAAAGCAAAGCAACAAAAAACCTACATATGGTTTTCCTGTGTACATTAAATTTCCATTTTGTAATCTGAATTTTCAAGATTAATTGCAGCAAGTACAAAAGCTAAGCAAGCTACCCAAATTACATCAGTGTTGAGCAATGTTTTCATCTGAGTCAGCCCAACCTTGGATAAAACAGTTTTATCCAAGGCACTCAGTGCTGTGCAGATAATGAGAAAAGTAATACTCACTCATTTCTGCAAGCTTTTGTTGGAACTTGGATTCCTGGGGTAGATGTTTGCTGCAGAAAGAAAGCATAAGGTTAAGTTAATAAAAATAACTTTTTACTTTCATAACCTAAACTTTAAACCAAGGGGACTCGCTTCTGACATCAAAGCATGTAATGGAGGAGCTTCCATCTCCCATTTGATACAGCTGCTAAAGCTCGTGCATTAACATAAAATGGGATATCAGGAAGAAGTTAGGATGAAGGCCCCAAGAACCCAATATGTGCAAGATCTCTGTAAAGTCCAGGACAATCTCTCACCTTCCATCTGCCTCGTCTTGCCCCTCTATATCGAAGCGCAGCCTCTTCAGTGGCTTTGGGGCAGCAGCACCAACTTCTGCACTGCGCTTCAGCTGGCCCTCACTGTTGCACAGCATCTGGTTTATTTTTTGAAACTTTTCAGAAGTCTGAAGCGACAAGAAAATAGGAATGAATTGCCAATAAATCTGAAACCACTCCAACTTTCCAGATTATCCACAAAAAATGAGGAGTTCTAAAACTCTGGAGTTTTAAGAACCCTTATCTTGTGCCAAAGCAACTAAAATAAAATGCAACATATTTTGAAGGTGAAGTCTGGATATTTGAAAGGACTTAACAGAACTTCCCTATAATTACTGTATTAAATCAGATACTTCATTGGTCTGCTCTAGAGATGTGATCAGGCTATCCCATTTCTCCATAAGTTACATGCATTTAAGACCAGACATCAAAGATGTTAAAACTCACCCCAAATGATTCTCCAATTGACACCAAAATTCTGCCAAATGAAGAAGAGAAGTTTAAGCTACATTTAGCAATGACAGAAGCATCGACTAATCTGCACAGGTTAGCACAAGGCATTAACAAGGTCTCTTCCTCTCTCCCTCTCTGCATTAACAGTGCAAATCCGTATTACTGTGTTGAGACATTTCTCTTTGAGCCAG